GTCCGGTGTAACCCACCTGTGTATGTGGGAAAGAGGGGAGAGTAAGGTGCAAAAAGACCAGAAAGGTAGGAATGGCCAGGTAAGAAAGGGCTTTGAACTCCAAACAGAGGATTTTCTATTTGATTTGGAGGTGATAGGGAGTTTAGTGAATGGGGGTGGGGGTGACATGGTCAGAGTTGAGAGGTAGGAAATCCCTTTCACAACTGGCAGAGGATGGGACGTCCAGACTGTTCATTAATAGGTCTGTGACCCACTTCAAGTCCCTTCATCCCTCTGAATCTCAGTTCTGTGTCTGAAAAGTAGAGATAATGCTACTTAGACTGCAAACTGACAAAGCTGTTATGAGGAAAGACTTTACACCCTCGAAGGAAGAGAGCGATTGCTGTTAATGATCCCATTAAGAAGGGTTGGACTGGACCCAGCTGCAGAGCAGGGCAAACAATCCCTGAGGCGGAGAAGTGATAGGAAAGTGGTTAACAACAGAGAATGCCCTTTGCTTTTGCTGGCAGTACCACCTCCAGAACTCAGCCACTCTGATGGGATGCCCCGTGGTCAGGGGAGGGAAGGGGGGTGGAAAGGGTGGGAAGGAAGTGGGCGGAAGGAGGGAGAGGGGGGCACAGAAAGTGAGATAAAGCTCATTCATTCGGCACTTCAAGGTTTCCGAAGCACTCTCACCACAATACCACCTCATTCTCCCAAATAGGTAATATCAGGATTATCTTTCCTGTTTTGCGGACGAAGAAACTGAGGCACAGTTAACTGACGTGGCCCAAGGTCAGCAGGTGGGGTGTGAGCTGAGACTCCGCGCAGGTCTCCTGACTTCTAGGTCAGCCTCCTTTCCATTTTCTAGCCTGAAATGTTATTGCTTTAGTCATCTCTTGGAAGTGACTTCATCATCTCAGGGGTCTCACACCCCTTACAAGTGAGTGGTTACCCTGCCATTGAGAGAAGGGGGTCGAGATTCCATGCTCCAAGTAGGCGGGGCACCAACGGCAGACTTGGGGACTTGGCCAAGCCTGTCTCTGTACAAAGTAGGAAATAAATAAATATTTCCTCAATGAACCAATGAGTCGAACATCACAGTTCTGCCCTCCTAAGAGGTGCCTAGAGACGCTTGGCGGGGGTTGGGGGGGGTCACCAGCCTAGGCACAGAGGGCAGAGCCCTTTAGCCCTACTCCCATCTTAACTAGCCTGAGTGAAGAAAGCCCAGTAGGGTCAGATAAATGCCGGCATCCATTCCTCAAGAGCCAAGACTTTGCCATCATCCGAACAGACGCTTCCCACTCTAAGTAGAAACTCTCCTGCTCCCCCTGGTGGCCAGACAGAACCCACATCTCCTGGACATGGTTTGAGTTGAAATTGAGAGAATGTTTGTAAAGAACTTTGCAAATCTTGAAGCATCATGTAAATGCTAGCTATGATTATCTGCTTCTAGAAAACCAGCAGCCCAGCTCTGCATTGATCGTAGTATCCTAGAATATGTCAGACAGAGCAGGAAGGGGACCCAAGAGGTCATCTAGACACGGAGGAAACCCACCAAGTTAGTGGCAGATCTTCTGACTCCCCAGTTGAGCATTCTCCCCATTGAACCACATGCCTAGGTTCCCTTACCTAAGGAACTCAGAACACTTTTATTTACTGTCATAAAACTGATGAAGAATCTGCGAGTTGCTGGAGGCTGAGAGCTCTAGGGCCAGAGGCCAGACTTGAATCCAGATATTCCTGGGAAGCTCGGTGGTGCAGTGGATAGACTATTGGGCCTGGAGTCAGGAAGATTCATCTTCCTGAGTTCAAATCTGGCCTCAGACACTTACTAGCTGTGTGACCCTGGGCAAGTCACTTCACCCTGTTTGCCTCAGTTTCCTCATCTGTCAAATGACCTGGAGAAGGAAATGGGCAAACCACTCCAGTAACCCCAAGTGGGGTCACAAAGAGTGGGACAGGACTGAACAACAACAATTCCTGAGTCCAAGTCCACTCCCCTATCTTTCATCAGGGGATCCGAACTTCTGCCTTTTCATGATGAGTAAATAATTATATATGGCATAGTTAGTGTGCAGTGGAAAGAATGCCATGTAGTACCCATAGGTCACAGATTATAGACTCAGTGAAAACAGAGATCTTAGAAGCCACTCAGTCCAATCCCTTCAATTTTTACAAGGGAAGAAATTGAGACATAGAAGTTCAGTGGCTTACACAAGGTCCCATGGGTAATAAGTGAGGCCCAAGACTCACCTTGGGCCACGTCAGTTAACATTTCAAATCCCATCTCTATTATTATTTGTGGACTTTGGACAAGCTGCTTCTGCTTTCTAGGCGTCAACCGCCTCCTTTGAAAAAAAATAACCAGGGGCTTGGACTAGATGATCCTTAAGGTTCCTTGAAACTCTTATGTATCACATGAGAGATACATTGCTTTATATGATGTGAGATATTACACTTGCTGACACTATAGTATGTACAGTAAATATTTTACTAGTTAAGGACCCAGAGGAAGGCAATTGTCTTGACTCTCCTTTCATTCCTATAAAGTAAAGTTTCTTTCTTCTGTTTCTCTCCCACCATATATGTACTCTCTCCTCCTCTACCTGTGCAGGAATGTTATGAGCCCCTAAGAGATAGGGTCTGGATAGACAGTTACTTAGAGCAGATCATTCAGAATGATGATTTTTTAAGTAAGAAAAATAGCTGGGACCAGGGGAGGGAAAACAAAGTTGAGGGGGTATGTTATGAGTGCTCTTGGATCCCCACAGGAAACTTCTGGCTGCCCCCAAGGAAAAAGTGCAGGAAGGGGGAGTTGGGTTAGATACTACCCCCCCCCGATGCAGGGGAGGGGGAGAGGGAAGGTGATTCTGTTCCAGCCTCTCCATACAGGTGCTAGATTCTTTGAGTTCAGCCCGATGGCAGGCATGTGCATTCAATGTCTCTTCTATCTTCCCCATCCCAGTTCTCTAGTCTCCTGGGATGAGCCTCCCTCTGCTCTGGGCTTCCTCTTCTACCCATCCCTTAGGCAGGGGTCAGTGGGACCCTGTCAGGTCTTATGTCTTTTCCTTTAGTGGTCCCAAGGCAGGCCATATGAAGGCTCATTGTTCCCCTTTGAGAAGGAAGATGTGAAATAATGGATGGGTGGGAAGGTCTGGTAGGACCCCTCCCTCCTCTGCTCAAAGATCTCCCTCCCATGGGGGGCCATCTCCAGTTGTCCTGATCTGTATCTTGACATTGAACCCAGATGGCTCTGGAGGAGAAAGTGAGGCTGGTGACTGCACAGCCCTCCCTCCCTCAAATCCAGTTCACTTGCATGTCATGGCACCATGACATTCCTGATGTCATGGTCCTCTTTGAGAACAAAGGACAGACAACAGCAACAGCCATCTCATGATTCCCTATTGATTCCCTACAAATTCCTGTGGAGGGAATTATGATTTTCATATTGATATCAATATATGTATACTGTGTAGCTAGAAGAGGCAATTCTGAGAATCTAATCTATTTGCATATTCATTACACCTATATCAATTAATATGACAATCACAATTCCCTTCACATTCCTTTGACATTCAAGGACTTCTCCAATCTGGCACTGCCTTCTTTCCAGTCTTATGTTATGCCTCTGTCTGTGCTTGTTGTTGGACAAAACAAGCTAATTTCTGTACCTCTGGCTCCCTATTTTTGTTCCCATTATTCCTTATACCTGTAATATTTCTCTTCCTCTCCCACTAATTCAATCCCTACCTCCAAGAAGGCTTCTCTGATTGACAAAGTTGGTCATAGCAGGCTCTTCCCCAGACATCACAGAGTACTTGGGTTTACACCTCTCTACTATACCATACCACTATAATTTGGTACCTTAGCTGCATTTGTCTTATCCTCAAGACTGTAAGCTCAGGGAGGCAAAGCGATTGAATCTTTTCTAAATTCCGTCTCTTCCCCCAATGGCCTGGTACTGCATTCTTAAGTTCTGTAATTGTTGAATTGGGGACAAGATGCAGTGAGTGACATTTGAATGGCAAGATATGATATACAACCCACTGAGGCTGATCATGGGTGAGTCCATAGACTTGGAAGCTGAAGAAAGGGGTGGATTTCCAAGACAGCAGTGGGAATGGCTGGCAGAACTGTGGGCACCTAAGACCCCTCCAGGGGGAACCCCAAAGATGAGCATATAACAGTGACCCAGTTGGGGAATCCCCAAAGGGGAATCTTCCCTTTCCTTGCACGTATCCCAAGAAATCCACTTCTGCAAACTTCTGGGAAGAGGTAGGGAGCTCGAGGGAGGTCCCGCCTCACAAAGCTGCCTGGGGGAGGGAAAGAGAAAAAACCCAACCAGTCTCCCCACCTTGGTGTGAAACAGAAGAGGGCAGAAAAACCTGAAGCCCCGCACTCTAGCCCAGTCTCTTTCCTGCCTATAAATAACTGCCCAAGAGACACTTCAAAGGGAACTGGGAGCCCCGGGGTGGGGACTTTAGGGGATGAGAGAGGAGGGGGGATAAGACTTAATCTTCCATCCCACTGAGCAACTTTGCATGAATAAATAAATAATTTGTGAGAGGAGGAGAGGTAGAGAAAGGGGGAAAGAAGGGAGAGAAAGAAAGAGGAATGCAGGTAGAGGGGAGGGATAGGAGAGAGATAGGGAGGAGAGAAAGTCAGACAGAGGGGGAGGGAGGGAGGAAGGAAGGGGAGAGAGAGAGAGAGAGAGAGAGAGAGAGAGAGAGAGAGAGAGAGAGAGAGAGAGAGAGAGAGAGGTGAGAGGTGTAGGGATGCAGCAGGGCTTGCTCATCGGATCCCTGTAGCTGGGGAGTGTGTCAAGTTACAGAGGCGCCCGAGCCGGGCCCGGCACACCTCCGAGGAGGCGGCGGTGGCAAACATCTCTCTCTAATGGGGACTCTTCTAGCCGATCCCTCCCTTGCTCCACCGCGGAACCGAAACTGACAAACCCCGGGGGGACCCACCCCAGCCAGAGGAAGGAGGAGGAGGAGGAGGAGGAGGAGGAGGAGGAGGAGGAGGAGGAAGAGCAAGAGGGGGAGGACACTAGCTCGCTGGCTCGCTCTCTGGACCTCGCTCCCTCTCCACACAAGCCCTGACCGGCACTGACGAACACAGAGCGCGCTAAGCCTCGGCCCCGCCGCCTGGCCAGCCTAGGACTGGCTCCTGCGCGTCGCGCGCGGCCCGTTTGGCTCTCTAAGTTTGCGCGCCGGACCTCGCCACCACCGTGCCCCTCAACCCCGTCCTCCGCGCTGCTGGTTGGCTGCCCCCCTGAGCGTCCCCACGCCCGAGGGAGACTGTGAGCGGACCCGAGCCTCGCTTCAGTTATTTCTTGGCTCTTGGGCTGGCGGACCGCGGAGGACGGGCATGATCGAGGACAAGGCTCGCCAAGGGGCCAGCGACGCGGCGGCAGCGGCCCGGGGGGAGCCGTGCCCCCGGCCCCCGCTGCCCCGGAGCTGCGCGCTGCTGGGCGGCGTGTCCCTCTTCTCGTTGGCGCTCAGCCTCCTAGTGCACTTTCGGAGCGCGGAGCTGCAGTCCCGCCTGGGTCGGCTGGAAGCTGAGCAGCGGCGCCCGCCCCCGCAGCAGCCCCCGCAGCCCCCCGCCTGGCTGGCCGCGCACCAAATGGAGGAGGCTATTTTGGGAAGAGTCAACCAGCTGCTGGAGGAGGTCGGTGCTCTTTGTTGTGGGCCCTGCCCTGCCCTGCTCTGCTCTGCCCCTGCCTTGCCCCTGCCCCTACCACTAACTACCCTGCCCTTCTCTCCTCCTCACTTCTCCTCTTCTCTTTTTCGTAGTCTCTCTTTCTTTATCTTTCCTTTACTTAGCTCAATTTTTTTTCCTTTTCCACACTCTCTTTTCTCCTCTCCCCTTCTTTCTGCCTCCTGTTTTTCCTCTCCTTCGTTTTCTTCTCTTACCTCTTCTGTCTCTCCCCTCTCCCCTTGTAACTCTCTGCCTCTTTGCGTTTCTTCTCTCTCCTCAGTTGTTCCCTTCCCTTCTCTTTCCCTGGCTTTCACCTCTTCTCTTGCCTTCTCTCCTTTTTTTTCTCTTTTTCTTTCTATCTCCACTATCTTTCCTTATGTCATTTTTTGTCTATTACTCTTTTTTCTCCTTCTGTCTGGCTACTCCTTTCCCGGTCCGGTGCCATCCTGCACTTACCCCCTTATCTCTTCAAGTGTTTAATTTAGTTCTATATTATCTCTGATGTTCTGGGGGCCGGATTCTGCACCCTGGGCGCCTCTTGAGTTCCCAGGACTTGGGCACATTGGGGAAGAGGACTGGGAATAGGGTGGGCGACTTTAAGGAAGTTGGCGGAAGAGATGAGTTTCTGGCAGGGAGATGGCCATGAAATCCACTGGATGCGCTCGCGCCGTTGTGAGCCCGCACCCCAGCGCAGGTACTGATAGGGAGGAGGTTGGAATGGGCAAATAGCTTTGATCATAGATCGCGCTCCCGGTGACTGACCACGGTAGCTAAGCCACAAAGCTATCCCGCCCGCAGCAACCTCCCACCTGCCTCCGCTTACCCCAGTCCTGTAGGTACTGGCCGGAGTGGCACACCAAGTCGGGCCCTGGAGACCCAGAGCTCTTGGTCCCCTGTGGTCTAGTGCCTTTATTTCCCCTTCCCGCCCTGCCCCCTGAGCTGGGATGTCTCCTTGGTGCCCTGGCCTGGAAAAAGTGGTGGCTTCACGACTTCCCTCCACCCCCACTCCAGCTAGGGACTGGACTCCAGCCGGCCTCTGAGGCCCGATCCCAGTCCGAGGTCCCCACCCCCACCCCTGCGTTGGGAAGAGTGCCCTGGTGTGCGAAGGCAAAACTGGCCCCTGGGGGCATTTTTCCCTTCCGAAAGTTCCGCCCACCCCCATTTCCCCCAATTGCCCAGCTTTTATTGCCTTGTCCTTGTGGAGAAGAGGGAGAAAAGGGAATGAGTCACCCTCAGGGTCTCCAGAGACAATCCTACGGATGCCCTCCTGCTTTGGGACACTTCCCTCCCATAGTCCTTGAGGTCCCTCACGCTTCTGGTCCATGGTTTGCCTGAGGCTGGGCATCCAGTTAGGCGGATTTAATTCAAGTCCTTACTGAGAGCCTACAGTAAACCTAGCTCACGCTGCCGGGGATGAGAGAGAAGACCCCTGGCTCTGTCTTCAGGCAGCTGATAGTTAAGACTGAAACCCATGGAGATGAGCTCTAAGGGCCTGACCAGCTCTAGCCTGTGGGTCTGAGATTCTACTATTTGTCTTCTGCTTCACTCCCATTAGAACCATCACATTAGATCAGGCAGGCTCTCAACTCCTCTCTTCTAGTAGCCCCTACTTGGCCTCTTTGCCTCCCACTCATCTTTCTTACCATTCCTGAAATTTGCAGAGGTCTGACCACATCCCTCCCCCACTGAAGGTAAAACCCCCAGACCTCTGAGTCTAGTACAATAATTCATTTTTTCTTTTTTGGGTAGCACTTAAAACCCCCTTCTTTTTTCACCATTTGGAGTAAGGACCTGGGTTTGAATCCCAGCCAGGCCGCTTCCTTCCTGTGTGTCCTGGGCAAACCATCTCCCCTTCCTGGGCCTCAGTTTCTTCCTCTTTAATATGAAAGATTTGGACTTGATGACCTCCCACATCCCTTAGAGCTCTAAATCTACGAACCTATAAATAGCTCTGGGAGGTAGGTAATAAAAGTATTGTCTTCATTTACAGGCAGGAAAATTGAGATTGAGGTTAATCAAGTTGAGCAGGATTACACACAGCCACTGGATCATAAACATAGACTAGACCCGGAAGGGAACTCAGGCCATCCAGTCCAGCTCCTTCATTTTACAAATGAGGAAACTGAGGCTCATCCATCCTTCCCTTTCCCAATCTTATTTAGAAAATTTATAGCTCTTTGCCCTACTCCTGTCATATTCTACCTTGTATTATACTCCTTTATGTCCATGTCACATTCTCCTATTAGACTATAAGCTCCTTGAAGGCAGCAACTGTGATTTTTGAATCCTCTAGCTAGCATAAGACCTTTCACATGATGAAACAGCTCTTTGATAATTGACCTTTGAATTAAAACTTAACATCATTCAACCCAGAAGTCTTAATTCTGAAGGAGGTCAGAGGAGTAAGGAATCCTTGGTGTGTGTTTGTGTGTGTGTGAGTGTGTGTGTGTGTATGTGCACACAAGCAAACACCCACTCTTGCGCCCTCTCTCTGTCCTGTGTCACACACACACACACACACACACACACACACAGAGGGGGTAGGGAGCATTAATGGCTTCATGGAGGTGACATGTAAGCTGGGTCTTGAAGGATAGATGTGATTCAGATAGGATTTAGAAAAGGAAGGAACAGTTCAATCCTTTCATTTTATAGATAAGGAAACTGAGGCCCAGAGAGAGGCCCAAACTCACATAGTAACTTAGCTGAGGCTCAAAACCAAGGTCTTCTTACTTCAGATCCAAGGTTCTTTCCATGATATTGAGGATGCTGCTTTAGGGAAGAAAACATCATTCCAAGCAAATCAGTCAAGGAAGGACCTCCCATATCTGGGGGCTGCCTCTGCTTGGTTTGACTGGATTTTCCCCAGCCTTGGACACTAAGAGAATGAGATTCCCACGGCTCAGAGAAGGGTGGGGGAATTCGATTGGACTGATCAAGGGAAGAAGGGCAGGACAAGGCTAGACTGCCTGGTGGGTCTGCACCAGCAATGGTGTCTGGAGCCCTCCAGGCTATGGTGAATGGCAGTGGGAGCATCCAGCACTGGGGGGCCCAGGATATCTGGGATCTAGTCCATGTGCCAACAGCAAGACACGGCCTTGGTTTCTTCATGTTACCCTCAGTTCTCACACAACACTTGGCTTGCACTTCTGTTACGCTTCTCCTTGCAACAGAATGGTAAAGTGTAGCAGATCGATTGGAGGACTTAGAATCAGAAGACCTGAGTTCCAATCCCACCTCAGACACTTATTAGCTGTGTGACCATGGGCCAATAACCTCTATGGGCCTCAGTTTCCTCCCTGTAAAATGGGAAGTAGTGGTAGACTAGATTCCCTTTTTAAAAAATTATTTTTACTTATTTCATTAAATATATCCCTATTACATATAAAAAAAACATTTTAACAATTTTTTTAAAATTTTGAGTTTCAAATTTCTCTCTCCTTCCTGCTCTTCCTCCCTCTGTGAGAAGGCATGCAATTTGATATCAATTGTGCATGTGAAATCATGTCAAAATGCTTCCATATTAGCCATGTTGCAAAAGAAAACACAAACAAAATGATACAATAAAAATAAAGTTTAAAAAGGTATGCTTCTATCTGCATCCAGAGTTCATCAGTTCTTTCTCTGGAGGTAAACAGAATTTTTCATTATGGGTTCTTTGCAATTTTCTTGGATCATTGCATTCCTGAGAATAGCTAAATCATTCACAATTTGTCATCATACAATATTGCTGTTACCATGTACAATGTTCTCCTGGTTCTGCTCAGTTTACTTTGCATCTGTTCATGTTAAGTTGTGGTATAAGAAATGACAAGCAGGATGCTTTCAGAAAAACCTGAAAGCATCCTGCTTGTCATTTCTTATACCACAATAATATCACAATCATATACCATGACTTGTTCAGCCATTCTCCAATTGACAGGCATCCCCTTAATTTCCAGTTCTTTGCTACCACAAAAAGAGTTGTTATAAATATTTTTGTACAAATAGGTCCTTTTCCCTTTTCTTTCATCTCTTTGGGATACAGACCTAGAAGTGATGTTGCTGGATCGAAGGATATGCACAGTTTTATAGCCCTTTGGGCATAGCTTCAAATTGCTCTCTAGAATGATTGGATCAGTTCACAATTCCACCAGCAGTGCATTAGTGTCTTTATTTTTCCACATCTTCTCCAGCATTTCTTATTTTCCTTTTCTGTCATATTAACCAATCTGATAAGTGTGAGGTGGTACCTGAGAGTTGTTTAAATTTGCATTTCTCTAATCAATAGTAATTTAGAGTATTTTTATGTGACTATTGATAGGTTTGATTTCTTTTTCTGAAAACTGCCTGCTCATATCCTTTGACCATTTATCAAGTGGGGAATGTGGATGCCTGTTCAAGGCCCTTTCTAGCTACAAATCTATGATCCTATAGTCCTTGAGGGTAGGAACTTTCATGTTCATCTTTTTATCTCCAGTACCTACTACAGTGCCTAAAGTATTTCACAGAGGAAATACTTTATCAATCAATCAATAAGCATTTATTAAACACCTGTTGTTTTCCAGGCATGGTGCTAAGCGCTGGAGATCAGATAAAATAAAACCATTCTCCTCAACAGTTTAATAGTAAAGGGGGAGAAAATATATACCACTCTTGGTATATGCAATGCACACGCACAAGTTAGAAGTGGTGGAGGAGCAGCTGGGGGAGCAGGGAAGACCTCATGTGGAAGGAGGTTTGATCTGAATCTTGAAGGAAACCAGGGCCTGAATAGGTTGAACATTCCAGGCACTGGGGACAGCCAGAGCCAAGGCATGGTGATGGCAGATAAAGGACAAAGAGAGGAGTAATAGGTAATAAGGCTTAAGGCAAGATGGTGCTGCCCTGTGAAAAAAAATGAAATGACTAACAGAGGAGTTTTTCTTTGATTCTGAAGGTGGTAGGGAGCCATTAGAGTTTTAGGAGAGTGACAGGGTTAGATGTCCAGT